CTCCATGGATCATTATATACAACTGACCGTAAATTAGTGACAGGGCTTTAACGCGTGCCATTATTTGTTCCAAGTACATCCCTCGTTAAAAGATGACTTATTACTACTGCTTTGGCGAATCCTACCTTCTCCTTCAGAATTTAGATGTGCGAAATTGTATGAAGCACCTTGTCATTTTGATTTATAAGCTCGATCGATAAGCTTTATAGTTATTTTAGTTACGTGTTTTATATTTCATCTCGTGTCCTTGGAGCACCGCTGAGATATTTGTTACTTTTGCGAATATAAAATATGCGCGCTTCTGGATAAAATCACTCGTTTCCTTTCTACCTTTTGGTTTTCGCTTTTATGACTTTCGCTAGCTTCTGATCTACGAAAAAAAAGGGAAGAAAAAAGTTTTTAGCATTTAGTTTTCGTAATAATAATTTTATGAGCATTCAACTTTATGTATTTTGTTTTAAATTTAGAGTATTATCGAGCAATATATTTGAAAATAAAGACAATATTTGTAAAATAAAGCTACCAGTTAAATATTAATTATATATTGCTGTGTAAAATGGAACTAAAATTTAACAAATTTATCGTTAAATTTTATAAATATTGCCCAATGTTTAGAGCATAATTAATTAACAATTTTTATAGATTTTATTTTAGTTGTATATAGAAAAATAAAGCATTACAGTGGAAATGTCTATTCAACGTTGCTTATTGAAATTCGAAATTACTATGTTAATTAACCTAACATTTGTAATTTATTTCTATTCATCAAGTGTGTTAACATTATTATATACTTGATAAAACGTAATTGAATAATCAAATTGAAATACTTTTATTAATTGTCTTTCTAATATCTCTTATATTTGATATAATTACATTTTTTTTTTTTTTTTTTTTTTTTTTCAGAAATCAAGATCATTTTATCATAACATACAAAAAAATTAATCTTAACTCTTTGACAAAATTTTTACAATAATTTGATATATTTTTAAACGCTCCCCATATTATGTAATATGTAACCTAAATATTTGATGGAACGTAATGACTCGAATCTCCGTGTTATAAATCCTATTGTCACTCAAACGAGCAGAATCGTGATATTAAAATTGTTAAATTTGTCCACTTAGAATTATCTATTTATTAATTTATTAATTTTTCTCATCTTATATGTAATAATGTTTCGTCATTATTATTATCGTTGTTGTTGTTGTTGTTGTTGTTGTTGTTGTTGTTGTTGTTATTATTATTATTATTATTATTTTCTTCTTGTATTGGAACACTTAAGATGTCAACAAAGAAGTGTTGTACGAGTGGCCAGTAAAGAAAAAGGGTTAGAAAACAAAAAAAAGTAGACAGTTCAACCACGTCATTTCGTAAACTCTAATCGCGGGCATTTTACATCCGTTTCAATGGGCCCGATATGCTTGGCCCACTTTTGTTAGCCTTCATTCTATATATTAGCGGTTGATCTGTGTATGCGTGTAGTTAGTTGCTGCTTATAATCGCTATGCATGGAGGTCAGGGATTTATTTCCCTTTCTTCAAATCCAATGCTTACTTTCTTTCACTCAAAGGTCTTCTGAACTTACTATATTACTGCTAATCAATTACATTTGTTTTAATTTTGGAGAATGCAATTTTCATTGCCATATATATGACCGGATTGGAGTTATAATTTTATTGAATCTATTACTGTAATATATTGATTTATTAATTTTTAAAATAATGCTTCATTATGTGCTGCCGTACGCTAAGAAAAATTTTATATGGACTTTTGATAGTAAAGTATGCGTAAAAAAAACATCATTTATTACAACTTTTTAATATGTTACTAATAAATAATGTTGATGATCTTGATATAATTTTCTACTGATTTACGGCAGATCGTAGTGTAAATTGAGACTTAATAAGTCAGTACGAATAAATATATATTCGACTACAAATATTAATTAAAAAAAAAAAAAAAAAAAAAAGCTACTTTAACGCTTTAAATATTCTGTATTTTTTTTTATTTTTATTTATTGTTTTATTTGCATATAAGTACGACGAGAAAATGACTAATTAATTAATGCATCTATTGTTATTATATATGTTATTTATTCATTATATATTTGCTTTCAAGTAAAATTCTTATTTATAATAGAAATCATATTTTTGTTTATTTATCTTCGTATTACAAGCACATTTGAATGAATAAATAATATAGAAAAGTCTGTGATTTGGTTTTCTTTCCATCTTGATATAAGTTTTATTGAAATTTTGAATTACACACTCTGTTCACTTACGTCTCCATATAAATATTTAAAATTCTTTAATTACTAATGGTAATTAGTAATGGTTGGACTAATATCCAACCGTCTTTGTCATTCTTTCCCTTCTTCTTTTATTTAGAAAAAATATTTAATTCATTATTTATTAAGAAACGGTGAAATATACCAAGTAACTGCAGAAACTTTCTCGATATTTCATAAAAATTATTATTAATAGTTTTATAAAAAAAATTCTCGTACGCTTATAGTAATTTACAAATTTATTTATGCGAAAAAAGAAAATGTTTCAACATTTTCGTTTTCCTTTCGCTTCTCTTGTTCGCGTCCACTCTCTGTCTAATATATTTTCTTTTTTACATTGAAGAAAGTATTCGCGATCACTATGTCTCCTTTGTCTCGTATTTGTTCTCTTGTGAAACTAAACAAATATTTACTCTGGTATATGGGAGCAAAAGTGAGTCACGTCTCACTCGAGCATATCGTCGGTTGTTTTCTCTTCAGAAAGGATGATCGCCTGATTAAGAAATGGAAATTGATTTTCATAGATTTTACTTTCTATTCGGCCATGTGCTAGAGATTTTATTTATTATTCTCATGAATTCGCTAAATTCGGTTATTCTAGCTGATTGCTTTGTTTTTGAAAACTACATTTGCATTTGTTGATTGAAATAATGAAAAAAAAAAAAAAAATTTAATTCACAATTTCATTCAATTTATAATTGAAACCATAAAATTAAAAAAAAACATCCTTCGAATATTTCGAACAAAGCATAGTAAATTATTAGACGCGGTATAACATTTAAAAGAAATTCAATCAATTTACTTTTCCTTTAATTGACTAATTGATGTAATTAAATGAGAGATCGAGGAGAAATAAATGTTTTTTTTTTTTTTTTTTTTTTTTTTACAAATATATACTTGGCACTTATATATACTGGGGAAGTATTTACATTAAAACAGTAAAAATAAGAACAAAAATATTCTATACTATAAAAATCCAATTAAATTTGTATAACCTGAATATATTACTTTGAGGTACTATTTTTTCTATTACAATAAAATATATAAAATGTAGTTCTTTATATTAATAAGGATGTTAGTGAAGTAAAGAGACTGTACAGAAAAATCTTCGTTAAAAGACTTTATATTGAAAATGCTTGGTAATGTGCTTAGTAATAGTATGCGCAGCAACGAATATGAGGGAAAAGAAACATGTAGAATTTAATTTCTATAAAAGTATGGGGAAAATATTTTTAGAAAATGGCTGTAAAAACAAGAGGATATTTAAACATATATTTTCTTTTTGGTCAACAGCAATTTATTATTCGAATTCTTTTTTATAAATTGACGATCGATAATATTTTGTAATAAAAATGTGTATTGATATATAAGCGTTAACCATTGAATAAGCGATATCACAATATAATACGATTGGAAATTAATGAATATCGCTTTTATTATAAATTGAATTATAATTTGACATGTCGATATGGATAATTTGCTGCAGTTATTCCAGTAATATTTTATAATAGATTAATTGAAGTAATAAGAACTGTGTAATTTTGAAACTGTTGTCAATAAAGTCAAATGATACATTGATTATCAAAATATAAATTATTTAATGTATTTCAAATATTAGACATTATATCATTGGGCAAAAAATTAAATAATTACTCAAATTTACGTGTATTAAAGCATAAAAATTTATAAATAGTAAAGCTAAATTTAAATGAAATTGCTAATGAAATGACAAACTTAACATTATAAAAATATACATCTAATCAATTATTATTATTATTATTATTATTATTATAATTATAATTATAGGATAGCCTATTAATATTTATTAAAGAATAAAAAAATTCAAAGTTTAATTTTCTTCGTATATTATTTATTAAGAAAAAAATTAATTTTTTTCACTCTTATTACTAGTATAAAATCTTATTTCTATTCATTTAATTTTTTTTTTTTTTTTTACATTTACGTTACATACGCATACACAAATATCACACATAATTATAAATTCGAAATAAATTAAAGTCTATAGCAAATATAATCTAATATTGAATGTATGTGAAAACGTTATAGCACTGCTTGTGTATTATTATACACATTTACATGCACATATAAATGCATAAATTTACAAATTGAAAACAGCATTCCCGTTATTATGTGTATCCTAAAAGAATCATTTAATATTTTTCTTAAGCATTTATTGTAAATGAATATAGATAAATATAGATAGTTTATAGCAGAGTTTATTTATGAAGTTTACAATAATTACGCATTTATATTGGAGTTTTAAAGATAGACTACTTGATTTCTGGTACGACCAAGCATTTCGATTAAAATTAAACTCTGTACGATACAATACTCGTAGCTTGGGCAGTTTGCATTTTTTCGTTTGTTTTGTTTGCGATATTAGCAAGTAATGAACTAATAAAATGGTAAAAACTATATAAACTGGATGTGCTGACTTAAGTCATTAAGTTAATTCTGAAAATTTTTTTAATTAATTACAGAAAATTGCCGTCATACTGTAATTCATTGGCAAAATAAGTTTAAATAATTACATATTGTCCGTTAATATTTGCCAAATGTTATAGACATATTGAATATTTACGATGAACATGCTAGTTGACTAGTAGTATATTAATTTAACATAGTAAATTTAATAATTTTAAAAATCTCAACAGCAATGTAAAATAAGCAAAATGTTTTGTTTCTTTTCTAGATAAATAAGTAATCCTTCGGAATGGTGTCAAGACGAAAAATTTTGTCGCGCTCGCGGGATAATCTCGCCGACGCACAATATGAAGAACAAGAAGAAGAAGATGTTTGGTATAATATGGATAAATTATACAAGGTTCGTAAATCATTCTAAAAAAATCCTGCATTTTATATTAATAATCCTTTGAATCAACTGGAAACATATAATATTAAGTATATATAATAATTATATTTATTGGTATTTGTAGGCGTTGGATTTTACCGTCTGTATAAATTATAAAATTAAATAATTCACTTCTAATTAATATCATATTTTAACCAATATAAATGTACATTTAATTTATATCGGTACTTTTATAAATAACTATGAGAGAGAGAGAGAGAGAGAGAGAGAGAGAGAGAGAGATACGAATAATGGATACGCTAATGATAATAATATATATTTATTTTAATTCCATCTACGGTAAAGTAATATTATTACTTTTCCTTAATATCCTTATAATGAAAATTAAAATTCTAGAACGTATTATACAAAATGTTCATTATTTTTCATCAAACAAAGACGACTATTGAAAGAAAGATGTGAACGACTGTGAAATTTTTTTTTATTTCATTATTGAAGATATTTGTGTGAAATTAAAGAAACATTCATTCGAATTCCAAAACACCTTGTTATTTTATAATTGTTATTTTAAAAGTTGTAAAATGCATTGCACAATTTTATTAGTCTTTTCCAATTTTTATTTGATTTTATTTTATTACTTTGAAACTCTTTAAAGAACATTATGGAATATGTATTTAAAGAGCTTTTTAATTGAATTTTTTCAAACACACATTCTCCTTTTCTATATTCTCTAAAGAAAAATCTTAATACATAAAAGTATTTCAAATTGATTTATGAATATGCCCAAGTTTTATCATTTTTTTTTTTTTTTTTTTTTTTTTTTTTTTTTTTTTTAAGGGAACTAATTACAATAAAAAATGCATCTATTTTAAAATGATCGATATAAGTCAATTTAATACCTCACACGTAAATCAATACCATAAATCCTTTTTATAAGGTGGCAAAAAAAATCTTGTTAATATTATTACTAAATTTATCTATTGTACGAAATTAAAATTAAATAATCTTCTGCGCAAACATCAGTGAAAAGTACGTTACGCATTTTAAATATATGCTAATTGTTTACAAACAATGTATTTCCATGTATACAATTTAATAACGATGATACTTGTTATAGATATATTTATTATATTATTAATAAAATTAATATAAATATTATATTAATTACCGAAGCAAAAATTTTATTCTCTCAAAATATTGCCAATAATTATTATCTCTTTATTCTTATCTTTTTTATAGTTTTTAAATATCTTTTCGTTGCTATCTCAAGTAGTAAAGTAGTAAAGATTTTATAAATCTTTTTCCTTTAACCATTAGTAATATATTTCAATAGCTTACATTTTCATTAAGCTATTAATAATAATAATAATAATAATAATAATAATAACAATAATAATAATAATAATTAATGTTTCGATTATTTAAAAATGAATTATTATTTTGTTTTTGTTTTTTGTTTTTTTTGTTTTTTTTTTTGTTTTTTGTTTTTAATAACAATGTTTACGAAAGAATCAAATTATATTGTAATATTATGTTGAGAGATGCGCTTTAGAATAAATTGAAAATTTTTCCTTCTATCAACAAATTACAAATTTCGTTAAACTATTTAGAGATTCGTTAGCATATATTCTTCTAGTAAGTTATAATAAAAGCTTAAGTGAAATTATTTTTTGTCAACAAACTTATCGCGATACTCCTAAATTATAATATTATGTACTTTTTGGGATAAGAATTAAAATCAAATATATTAAAATTAGTGATTCCGAGCAAACAATCATTAAATTACCATATTCTACATGGCCAACATTATATTAAGTATGCAATGTGTTTTTTACATTAAATACTTGGTTATCATCGAATCATTATTATTTAAAAGAACGGCCTCTCTAAATTACATCAGCGATTAATTAAATTTCAATGAAAATATATTACGAAAGATAAAAGTTTGGTTCATGGACACATTATCAAAAATGAGTTTCGTAATGGATTGGTAGTTAACAAAGTGAAATTATAATCATCGTCATTAGCACTCACTAGATGCATTAATGTGACATTGCAAAGTGAAAAATATAAAAATATTGAAACTAATTATATTGAAGAAAGAAAATAGTGTTATGTCAAGATTAATAAGCATTTTCACCACAAATTCTTATTTAACATAAAGCGAACTTGATATTTCCCATATAAAAATCAAGTTTGTTTCTGAAATGATCATTACATGTTAATTAATTTCACCAAACTAATTAGCAAAAAAATTCCAATGGTAACAAGAAATTACTTGTTAATTATGTCTTGCTGACTGTCAAAAAGAACAATTAAATATCTGGCAAAATTTTAAGGATTAAGTAGAAAATATGTTAGTCCATCTTAAAAATCGAAAATACCGTTGTTACATTGTAAGCAGTTGATAAATGTACTTGATCTTTTTCTCCTCGTTTCCTCTAATTGCAACATTTATGCAACACGCAAGTTCACAATACCTCGATCAGCTTGCGTAAATAATTGAAGGCCACTGTTGTGGATTTTATCATCCTACTCTTTTTGCAATATGGTGGCTGGTAAATTAGCTTAATTATATGAGAATATGTGCAGAAAATATTGTACACCATAAAAGGCTAAAATCAAATTTAAAGTAATTGCGATATAAATATAAAAAAAAAAAAAAATAAAAAAAAAATACAGTAGTTTGTAGAATATTTTAAAGAGCATTTTTAATTAAAAAATTACTACAATTGTTATTGCATTTTCTCTATGTAATTCGTATTTATTGATTATTATTATTATTTTTTTATCTGTTTATAGGACAATTTATTTGTAGAACAATTTATTATTTAATATTAATATTTTTATTCGATAAAAAGGAAAAGTAGAAAAAATAATTTGCAAATTTTTCTTTTATTACGAAATAAGTAGAAGAAAATATGTATAAAATAATGAAAAAACTATGTAATGTACACAGAAAATACAATAAGTCAAATAAATAAGTTAAAATAGCGATAAAAGCAATTGATACGTATTGAAAAGAAAAGAAAAAACATAAAATAAGCAATAAAATGTAGAATGTAAATATTTTTGTGATAAAAAAAAAAAAAATCCCTTTCTTACAAAGATATTGTGATTTTGTAAAGTTATATTCTATTCTATTCAGTTAAAAGTATGTAAATTAATTCTAATTTATTTGTGATAATAGTTATAAAAGAATATAACGTATAGACAATGATTAGTTCGAATTATTATTTCTTCTCCTGATTTCAATTAAAAGAAAAAAAAAAGAGAGAGAGAGAGAGAGAGAGAGAGAGAGAGATAAGCACGATCAACATAAATTTGTTAATTTTCCTATATAGTTTTAGGTTATCCTATTAAAATCTACTTCACCCGAAAATTAGATATTTAAACGAGTAAAAGTATGATTTATTTACAATAAGAAGCCTTCGCTAATTGGAAATTATTATTGCGTTAAACTAGAATAAATATTTGTTCGGTTAAAGTCAACATTTAGTGGAATATAATGAACGTCGGTATTGCGGTACGTAGCCAAAGGCGAAAAAATCAGACTTGAATAATACAGCGATTGGCACAAAGTCTAAGGACAATAATACTTCTGTCACGTGACCAAACTCATGGAGTGGACACGTTTACCCATTGACATCGATCCCTAATTCGCTGAATTTTTCCACTACGCGTGCCATATTCGATCGTAAATTTTCTTAAATAACTCTCTGCGTTCATCATACTCACTTCTATTTTCCTGTCATATTCGCTCTCGTCTAACGCTCTTTTATTCTGTCCATATGCACAGGATCATATACAGGAAGTTCTAGACAAGTGGAATCAAATAGACGACGAGATATGGGCCAAGGTCATTGTTTTCGAAAGGAACAGACGCGTGGCGAAGGCGTACGCAAGGGCGCCGGTGCTAACGGTCAATGGCTCCAACGACGGCTTTGACGGTTTCAGGTAATCATTACAGCTTTTTACGCCACGCGAGGTCAACGTACCTGGCCAATTCCAGATTTCGAGACAACGCTCCTGATTGTCATACCGCATTTTGCATATTGATGCCTTTCAAATTTTAACTACAGTCTTGAAAAATACGTACTCGAGTAATCCTTAAGTTGATCGATAAGCTTATATATTACATGCTGCTAATAATGACGACGATGGGCAATAAAATGATAACGATAGCCTCATCTTCAGAATTATTGTGATCCTTGTTTATTCATATGCGATACAATATAGATTATAATAATAATAATTATTATTATTATTATTATTTTTTTTTTTTATATGAATAAACAAGGATCACTTACGATTATCATGAGGTTGAAGGAGAATTCGATACATCATAAAAATACTTTAAGCTTGATATTTTAGAATTATTCACTATGTTTTATTATTATGTGACTTTTCTAACTCATACGATCGTGAAATTATTATTTGCAATTTTACATTTGTTATATAACGAGTTAAAAAAAATTTCACAAAAATATGTATAAATAACGTTTACAAAACCTTCGATATAAATTGTACATTTAATGAAAATTTTAATGTCTCGTTCTAAATATATTAAGTTTTGCTCTCTTTTAATCTTTCATGTTAAAAGCTAAATATTAGCAATATTATATCTGCAAATTAAAATATATATATTTCTATTATATTACGTTTTACATTCAAAATTTATTCATTTTTCTTTTTCTTTTTCTTTTTTAATTATACCCAATAAATGGAAAATCTTTGATATAATATATACGTCGAAAAAAAAAAAAAGAAAAGAAAAAGAAAGAAAAAGCACGAAAGCATATTTTTAAATAAATCAAATTAATATTTTTTATACTAACCGCTCGATATACGTTATAATAGAAATTATTCAGTATAATTTAACGTCAATCGTAAATCTAAAATATACGTATCAATGGTACTTTCCTTGTCACTTGTTATAACCATCTTAATTTCTACAGCAATTTCACGGGTAAAAATGTATGATATCTGCTCGCACTCAATCGCGGTTATTCAGTACTTTAGCGATTAAGAAATAAAATTAATAAATAAAATTGACAATTTAATAGTGTACGTTACTTAATTTTATCCTTTCAAAGAGAAAAACTATATTTCAGTATGATTGTTCAATACTGAACATGTCGAAAAAGCTATTATTATGAAGTATACTATATTATTAAGTATTAATAATAATAATAATAATAATAATAATAATAATAATAATAATAATAATAATAATAATAATAAAAAATAATAATAAATAATATATACACACGCACATACATACATATACGTGCACGCACATATTATAGAATAAAGCATGTTATAATTCTGGTTAAATAATTCCAATTTATTTTTGCCTGTTATTTTCTTACCCTCATTAGTAGCCAATTTTTTTTTTCAATACCCTATTCTAGAGTATCAATACTCATTTTTGTATATTTTACATCTGATATGGATCATTTCCATTAGCTTTCACATAACGATGTGTTTTATATTTTATCTTATGAAGTATTTACGAGATTTAATATGATACGGCAATATCAAGTGATACGAAAAGTAAAATATAATAAGGAAAATTTAACACGAAACTGGTATATTTAGGACGTACATACAATTTCTGAAAATTATTCTGATTCTGTCACATTCATGGACGAATATTATTTAAAGCCTCGAGGTCTATATATTTACAATAAATTACAATTCTAAAGATAATAGTTAGCTAGTCATTATTATTCTTATTCTTATTATTATTATTTATTTTAGTTCGTATTATTAGTTATCCCATTAATATAATTCTTTTATATAAAAATCCATGATGAATATATATGACATCGTTTCTTATATTTATAGTTATATAGTTATAAAATATATAGTTATTTTTATAATCAATACTATCTTACCATTAAAATAATTTACGTATTAAGTATTGGTAAAACTGATTTATCACAATTCGTATTGAATAATAATAAAAAATTTTAATGCAAATTGGATTGAAATTTCATGCAATTCAAATTCATATTTTTTTAAATTAAAGCATTTATAAAAGAAGAGGACGTTCACTTTTATTATATATATTTTTCTCATTTGCCTCTAATATATTTAAATATGTATCGCTATATTTATAAGAAAAACTTTGCAAATAGTTACAATTATCGCATATACGTCACATTCCTCGTGTGTTACTCTTGTTTTTATTAATATTTATTAATTTATTATTAAATGAAATAAAAATATAAAATATTATTCGAAGCTTTAGAAGAAAAAATATAAATTAAATTTAATGTATATATAAACTGTGCAGTCAATTTAATTATTTAATTTAATGCAAATATATGTAATTTGCAAAAAAAAAAAAAAAAAAAAAAAAAAAAAAAAAAACAGAAAAATAATGTTTTATAATATTTCAACGTATATATCGTTATAATTGTGATATATATATATTTTTTTAAAAAATCCTAAATAGGCAATATGTGTTAACATGTTCGAGAATATAATATACACATTTTATAGTAAAACTATATATAATAAAATTCTTTATTAACATTATAAGCGAATTTAGTGTTATTTATTTTTACATTTCATTATTACAATTAATTATATTATGTACACTAGAATGCATTGTTTATAAATACTTTTTACAAATTATTCAATAAAAAAAGTAATCGTTCAATAATAAGAAATTTCATTATTTCTGAAACCAATTTAAATTAGTGTTTGAGTAAAAAATAATTTTGCGATGCAATTGAAAAGATGAATCAGCGATAAGTCCAACTATATAATTAAATATTTTCAAAAATCGACGTTCTTCAAGTTGTTTTCATAGATCGATTTCTTAGTAGTGAAATAATTGCTCGCAAATTTATGTCATGTAATATCATGCTTATACAAATAGATGAAAATATATATTTTTATTATAATGGCTTATTAATCTTCGCCAGGAATACTGCAAAATCAAATTTCTGCGATATATTAAGCTTAAGAACGTAATGTTATTGCATATATATATATATAAGTTTACATAATTTATATTGAATTTATTTAAATAACATACTTTAAAATGTCATTAACATACGCGAGTCTATTAATAATGTTTTAATTCAGCGTACTGAAACATTTACTTCTAACCAAATCATATGTAGATACATTTGTATTTATATTGAATTATTATTATTATTATTATTATTATTATTATTATTATTAATATTATTATAATCAAATGGGCAATCCTTAGAAGAACATTATTTATGATGCAATATTGGTAGTACAGTGATGAAAACAACAATAACTAATTATCTAAGATAAGAGCAACCACGTGCTTATGGGTCTCTAATTATATGTAAAAATGCTCTTCTTTGTTACTCGAGTTCTCTTTGTTGGCACAATATGGAAAATGTTGGAAAGGCGATAAGGAAACGGCTTGATTGGCATAGAAGGTGAATTAATATTTCATCATCCGTAGAAAAATTAAATAGTTGGAAAAGTTTTAAATATTTACAATTCATACGTTTATATGTCCGAATGAAAAATATATACAATTCAAGTGCACATATTTTATTGAATTTGTATTCAAGTTTGCAGGAGTAATTATATGTAATGTCGCTCTTACAAAATATTTATTAACTTATTAATTAGTTATAAATTGTTATAAATGATATGGATTTTTTTATTTTATTATAAAGCCTACATCATGCATGTCAAATAATTTTAATATCGAAGAAAATCTTTCGGAAAGATATTAAGGAATATTTCTCGTTATTTTATATAAATAAGTAAACATAAAATAATCTCAAAATTATCAACAATTTAGCAAATTGATTATTACATTAACAATATGTAAAAGCTTACAACATCTATGTATTCTTTGCTTTCTAATTTTGTTTTCTATTTTTTTTTTACATATTGTTTTTATTTGTTAACACATTTTAAACCATTTTAAGACTTATATCACTACTATCAAAATCCATGTATACATACACACATATATACACATAGTATAATTATATTTTCTCTTTGAAAGGAATATTCGATGTACGATAATGGGTATTTTGACAATAAATAATAATTTATGTATAAAAATGCAGATAAAATATTCTATATAAAATGGCAAAATAAATTTTTTATTTTTAAATGAACAATAAAGTATCTTATAATAAATGTAATTTTATAAAAATTTTATTAAATTTACAAAACATCAAATTTTTATTTATTTTCAGAAGTTTCTAACATTCAATATACGTAATTAATAATTTTTCTACTCAATAGATTACCAAAAATGTAAATATAAATTTATACATTTTAAACGCCAAATCATGTAAAAATCTGATAAATCTAGGATAAATAATTCTATACGAATTTCTGTATTTCTGAAAACTTGGCAAAAATTTTAATTTTCATCATTTTATCTATTGAACATATAAAAAGAATCATCATCTTTTATTATTTAAAAATTAATTATAAAAGTAATTTGTTATATATAATAATATTACTATATATTATAACAAATTTTTTTTTTTTTTTTTTTTTTTTTTTTTTTTTTTTTTTTTTTTTTATAAAAAAAAAGTTAAAAACTGATAAATACTTACGTACTTGTGTTGATTTACATTTAATAAAACTAAAATAGACAAAACTAATAATACGAAGTTCTCAATTTAAAAATATAAATGATATAAAAAAGAAAAAAAGAAAAAAAGATAACAAAAGCTTTGAGTTTATTATTCTGTGCGTCTTAAGATAAAAAATATCACAATACGGATATAAAAGTTTAAAATGTCTAAAAAGTCAATAAAATTTTCTTATAACATATTTACATATAATATCACAAATCATTTTACATTTATCTATAAAATATATTGCTCGAAGCAAATAAAATTATATTCTCATTGACCTAGATATTGTGAAATATTTTATAAATATAAAATAAATCAACAATAGTGAAATGCTAAAGGCGGATAAATTATAAGTTACGATAAATTCAATCTAACACAGTGTTGATGATGTACCAATAACAAGATTTCAATAGTCATATTACGTTTAATAATAATAATACAAATAATTTGTTATAATTTACAGGCATTTTCTCTATTTTCAAAACGCACATGTTAAATAATTACAATATACTTTCTAATAAATATTGAATAATAATAATTCCTAAGGCTTTTTCATTTATTTACGATCTTGACTCGCGTACGAAAGAGGAAAATTCTTTAATTATTTCATTAGTATTAATAAATGATTTTAACGAATGCGCGAACATTGCCTCGTCCAAATAAAAATTATTATTAATTATTATTATAAAAAAAAAAACAAAAAAAAAAACAAAAAAAAAAACCATAGAAAATATAAACAGTGTGGCGTTGCTCAATGATGGGATGTTTTCTCTGGTGAAATTTGCAGAATAGGATTGTGCGGATTCGACAATCCGATGCGAGATAGCAAAACGGAGGAAGCTAAGCGACATATTAATCAAGGTGTAAAGATAAAGATGGATGAGCAGGGCAATATACTCATAAAGAGATTATGCAAGAGCAATGTTTACGTAAGGGCGACAAATCAGGAGGATAACGCGATTGGCGCGGAAATCATACGCAATTCACAAGGAGCGCTTGAACACGAGAAACCCGGAAAGGTAAGCGACACGACACGAGCAAGGAGAAAACCTTTCAAGTCTTTTCTCTACCATTGCTGCACACAGGCTACTTATATTTGAAGAATTTTGAGTTATCGATTTGTCAGGAATTGTTATTATTATTAGAGATTTCAAATACCAATATATTTTATGAGCTAGCAAGTGATGAAAAAACAAATTGATTAAATTTACGATAGACGAATGTTTGATAAAAATGCATAAGATAGAAAATTAGGATAAATTCAATTGCTGATTCAACTGTTTATAATACTAATTATACAATATTTAATTTAAAAATTAACTAAAGCTCGATACAATTTATTGGCGAGAAATAATATTTTACCGCTTCTCAAACACGTGTCCAAACTGATTTAATACAAGTTTATACTTGGATTGACTGAGAGAAAATGTAAATAATCAAGAAAGATAATAATTGAAATGTACAAATTCATAACTAATGGCTATATTAATAAAGATTCGTTATTTTCAAATTTTAGTTGAAACATTTTATTACATTCGTTAAATAATGAGAAAAATTTTTTTTTTTTTACCGAATAGAATACGATAATGAAAGTTTAATACGCGTTATTTAGATTAATTTATTTTAAAATTTTTTAGATTAGATTAATTTAGATTTAGAATAATAAGGATATTAAATATCTTTGTCGAATGATATTGAAAATTACTATTTCAATGATATACAAGAAAAAAAAAACAAAAAACAACTGGATATTAAAATTTATTGTAAAATATCACCATTCATTTATATTAACAAATAATTTAGAAAATTAAACTGAAAATGTTTTTAATTAAGTAAAAAAAAAAAAATCTACTTTGTCCTCGAATAATTAAGTAAGTATGCAAAGTCATTAATTGTATTTAATTACTCAAAGAGATTGTAAAAATAAAAACATTACCTTATATATTATAAATATAAACGATATTTATAATTTCACTAATTTTCAGAATGAAATTTTAAGCTACAATCGAGTATATTAATTTTTCACGACTTGTACATTACTTTAATAATATTATATTATAAATAAATGTCTAATTTTAAGTAAATTGATTGTAACGAAATAAACTAATTTTTAATAATAAAATAATAAATACTTGCAATACTGATAAATCACTCAAATTACTATAACTTATAATATATTTCGAAATTAAAAATATCCGAGTATAAAAATTATCATCTATATGTAATTAAACAAAAATATTCTAAATAAAATTAGGCACTTTAAATCGATCGATTGTATTTATTTTGAGTTATCGATTAGCAAGACAAGCAATACAAAATCCGTTGTATAATTACATTAAATGTAACACTTAATTAACATTCCCATGATAAATTGTAAGAAGTATAAATAATATAATATATTACTTGATATAACACCTTAATTATAAATTATGTAAATGTAAAAATAAGTAAGTACGGTAGCTGTTTGTAGACGCATAATGTCACTCGATGGTTATTAAATTATTATTTCATTTTTCAAAACAAATGAACCTTCCACTATAGTGTGCTATAATTTTTAAGTATTAAATTGATTAACAATATTATTATTATTATTAAGTGAATCAAAATCAGTGATTTTTATTGGAATGTGTATAATAAACGCCATTATATAAAATATCATGGATTTTATCCTTTACGCATGCAAGCAAAATAAATCAGAGGATCAAACGTAAATGATTCGTTCGAGTGAAATAATTGTTTTCCACAGCTTTTTGACATGAACAAATTTCAAACCAACTTATCACGAGAAACGAGGAGAGCTTATCCGGACAGACGAAGATTGGAAACACAATGTCTGAGTGCAATAGTGTTTGTGCGCACGGATACCGATATTTTGCAATGTCCAGTTTGGGTCCTCATCGTCAATGTTGTTGGCCTCGACATGTTAAAATCCAAGCTTCCACCAGGTGAATCCAACTATATTACTGATTCCTAATTACATTAAGAGCTTTTTTTTTCATTTAAGGATTTATGTCCGACAAAAGAATATCGTTATTATTACTTTATCAATGATTGAATAATGCTGATGAACTAATGATAGAAATACAGATTTCAAATTGTTCTTTATTTACTTGCTTGTATAAAATATACGTTAAAATTATTTTTATCTTTGTATATATATATATATATATGATATTTTTATTGATGAATCGATAAGTTATAAACAAAATTTCATTAAAAAAGAAAAATATCAAATGTTTATCTTGTAATTGAAAACTAATTAATTCAATAGATTTTAGTGATATAAAATTACATTAGATTATTGATATTTACACAATTCCAATTATCTACTTATCCAATTTTATTGTTTCTAATTATTCAGAAGTATAATAAATGTTTATATTCAAGTAATTTAGAATTTGCTTTTGTACAATATTACATTATAAAAAATATTTATCAGAAGAAAAACAAATATATATATATATATATATATATATATATATATATATATATATGTATATGTAGAGAGAGAGAGAGAGAGAGAGAGAGAGAGAGAGAGAGTGTGTGAAGTAAAAGACAATAATTGAAAAATATTATGAATTGATACTTTATAATTATGAGTATTACTAAGATATTATAAATTTATATATTCTTTATCTAGATGTAACCAATGTTCTTTAATCGTTTTAATGCAATTTTATTCAAATTAATAGAAACAATAACGTAATATTAAACATTGCACATGATTAAAATATTTTTATTAATTACTTAATACCTAAAAATTTTGCGTATTTTGAAGTAATCTGCAAATGCGATTGAAAAATTATGTTAAGAATATTTTTATTATTATTGAATAATCGTTGTCTTCAAGTGTCTTTTTGTCGTTTATGAAATTACATTTAAAATTTAAAATGTGAATAGTCACGGCTCACCCGTACATGTGAATAATCTGATAAAAAATGATTAAATTAAATTAAAAAAACAAAACAAAACAAAAAAAAAGACGTAATTTTTTTAAATAACTTTCCTGCTTCACCATTAAAATTAAGGAAAACACGAAAAAATGAAGCAATTGCAAAACCAAGAGCCAATTATAAAAAGAAAATCCAGTGAAGCGATTAAAATTCAAGCGCTCTAGACGTAAGTAAGACGTCCTTTGCAATTTATCGACACCAACAAAGTCGAATAATAAATTTCCAACAATGTTAGACATAAGTAGAAAAATCCTAAGATCGGTAATAACGAGCTCTTGGTCAATTGACCGATTCACAGTCTTAGCACTGCAGAGGCCCGTGGATATTAAAAATCGACCCAGAATCCCTATACCGGACGAGGATCCCTACAGCATTGCCGGGGTTTCGACGTCTTCGGGTCCAAGCGATAACCTCGTGATGAACCGTGACGGCCGTGAACAGATCTACGTCGCCTACCACCAGCAGCATCAGCAGCAGCAGCAGCAGCAGCAGCAGCAGCAGCAGCAGCATCAACAGCAGCAGCAGCAGCAGCAACAGCATCAGCAACAGCATCAGCAACAGCAACAACAGCAACAACAGCAGCAACAGCATCAGCAGCATCAGCAACAGCAACAGCAACAGCAACAGCACCAGCAGCAGCTTCACCACCACCAGCAGCAGCGTCAGTCGACGCATCGTCGCGGTGAAAGGCCGCCGAAATTGCCACCCCGGGAAAACCTCTACGGCCATGACATACCCAAGGTAAAGACGAGCGAGTGTGAGTATGTGGGAGGACAAGAGACGCGAAGTGGCTTGCGGCAACTCGATGAACTTCCTGCCTAGACTACGTGTGGCTTTCGAAATCCGCGAGGGAAGGGCGATGATTAGCGCCTCTGTAATGTGCATGTATATGCTTTAACGCTAAAAATTAAATAATAATAATAATAATAATAATAATAATAACAACGACAACGACAACGACAACGAAAACGACAACACTCGGTCATGCAATACGTGAAAAACGAAACTTGTATTTAGATGGAGCCTACGGTTCAACCTACAGCTTCTCTCTCTCTCTCTCTCTCTCTCTCTCTCTCTCTCTCTCTCTATCTATCTATCTATCTATCTATCTATCTATCTATCTATCTATCTATCTTTATTAGTTTTTGCTTTTTTTGTTGTATCCGTTTCGTTAAACGACGAGTTTGATTTAGTTGATTTGAACGAATGATGGCTGCTTGGGCTTTAAGTCGTCGCGTAATTATGTCTCGATGGTCGGCACATGTAAACGCCACAGCAGTTGTTTACTTGACAATTGCGACTTATTAATAGTCTTGGTGATGCATCGTAAAATAATTCGCGAAAAACATCGATTAAGCATAAAATTATGTTTCTTTTTAAAGTTAAAAAGAAATTTTGCGATGGTGTTTTTCAAGTAACTTTGTAAACTAGTAGCCACTTAATGCAATTAATTAAGATTTTACTTTTGTTACTTTTGTAAAGACACTTAGAAAGGAAAGCATTCTCGTAAGGAAGTTGGAGGCACAATATTTATTTATAAAAAATTTGAAACTCGTATCGTTATTATATCGTTGCCATATTTTTATACAAGAGAGTTGATATCGTAAAGGTTCCATGTGATGTGATTTATGGGATAACAAATGTTCGCTACTTCGTCGCGATTTCATACAATCGGGTATAAATTTTGTAAAAATGCCACCAAGATAATTGTCGGTAAATACTTTTAAGAGTTTATTTATTAATAAAAAAACTTTTACCTTAAAAATTACGTAAGAAATTTACTTCCGTGACAAAAGGAAAATCTATTAATATTCCATTTATTGCATTAAATTGCAGTACATTTTTTTTTTTTTTTTTATGCAATGCTACGTAGTTGGCTTATTGCAAAATTAAAATTTTTTATTAAATCAATGCAACACTTGAATCGCTATTGTTTCTTGCAACTTGACTATGAATTTTAATTTTATTGATTTTTTTTTGTTTTTTTTTTTTTGTTTTGTTCTCTCGTTAACGAGTATTAAAAATAAATATAAACATAAATCAATTTGGCCATATTCGTAATTTAAAATTTTAATTGCATAAATGCTCGTATAAATATTTTGTACGACGATGTATTTTAATTCATTATTTATTCATTTCGTTATTATAAATAATAGATATGGGAATGCGACTAGAAATTATAATGCAGGCTCAAATAATTTCATTATTTTAACGCTAACAACGACATTTATTCAGTCGCAAGAATAATAAAGGTAACGAAAAAAGAAAAAAAAAAGATTCAAATGCATTTTTACAAGTATATAAATTATCGATAAAATATTAGTTTTATTGTTTGTAGAAATGAAAATTTTGTTCTCACGTGTGCTGCATTATGCATAAATGAACTGACCATAAGAATCTATTAAGTAATAGCCTCTTGGAAATTTTTAACGAAAATAAATAATCTCATTTTATATTTTATACATCCACTTCTGTTCATTGCCTTTGCAATATACGCGCCACACACGCGTAAAAACGACCTTTTAGTGAGCCTGATTGTACGCTGTAAGTGTAATCGAACAGCAACTAGTAAAATTTATAATCTAGTAATATAATTTTTCTATCCCATATTTGAAATATTAACTAGCTTTATAATTGTAATGTGTATTATATTTTAAGATGCCGAGGCAGGTTTATGTGAAGGTACGTTCCAACTTCTATTTCTTCAACACTAATTATTTGCTCCTCTATTTTGCACAATAAATGCTACTAATCCCATTAGACGTGTATTATAATAATTAAAACTTATTGGATATCTTCCGAAGTCTTATTATCGCTGAGAATTTATAATTTTCACAAATAATCATTAATTAATTCCATTGTTCGAAGTAAATACGATGATTTAAATTTATGCGATTATATTTCCCCTCTCTCATTGCACAAAATAAAAGTAATGTTATAAAGCGTACCTCCGACTTTCTCTGTCCTCTTGCACAAATGCAAATGAATACGTGCAAAGTAGACTTTAAGGCAAAATTATAAAACTTTATTTTCTTCTCGTTACAGCCCGATTATGACGATATTGAAGACGACTATGTGTCCAGTTCCGTAAGACCACCCGTTATGGAAGACAAAAAGATTAAAAAAGAAAACAATAAAAAATATGGTAAGATAGCACATTAAAAAGATAATTAAATAAATCTAAAAATTATCGATACTCTCTTATCTCTGTATTTTCTTCGGTTTTCTCTCTCTCTCTCTCTCTCTCTCTCTCTCTCTTTTTCTTTCTTTTTTTTTTTTTTCTTTCTTCTTTTCCCCAATTTTATTCGTAAAAATGACTGTTTTTATTTTAACACTACCAATGCCTCTCCACTCGATGTTTCCATAGAATAAATTTAATATAAAATATTCTCTTACTTATGCTATTGCGGTACGGTAAATTCAATATCATAACATTTGTAATTTATTAAAAAAAATTTCTACATTATTTGTCTCTATCTGCACATTCGTAATGACGAATATAAATTAGATAATATCTTTTATATCTGTGCGTGCAAGAGGATCAAATTGTATTTTGTAATAATCATAAACGACACGACATCTAAATTGAAATGTACTTAAGTGACTATTTTACTTTTTGCAATGGTTTCACATTAAATGGCAGATTAAAAATAAAAGTCTTTCATCGATTAGCAATAAAATAAAATTTTTATTATGTATCATAGCTCTTCCGTACAAAATTAACACCCATGTTTACCTGCAAGTCTAACCTCGTATTCAATGTGAAAAATATCGCTTAACATTTGTTATAAATATGGTAAATAGCTATTCCTGGAAGCATATAAATATTTTATTATAACAAGATATAAATATTTTCATGGTTCAAAGTTAAAAGTTAGTTATGAAAAGGCTGTCGTAAATCAATTTTATATGTTACGCATTTTTTTCTTCTTAGCCGACTTTCTGTTCTTCAGTAAAAACGATGTCAAGTACATGTCAAGTTTATTTAAGTGCTATTTTCACTTAAAAAATTTCTACGGTAGACATATTTAATAAGTGATTCTAATATCTCGAGGGCTCCGTATGTTGATCAAAGTCTTTTATGTGTTACACTTTCACTAAATTTCAATATAAAACATTCTAACATAGTCCGAGATTGTGATAATTATATTAACATTTTAGATTAAAATTACTTAATCTTTCAATGTTAAAATAGAGATTGTAAATTGTGTAAAATTACAATAAATTTATTCTATATTAAAAATACAGCATTGTAATATGTAATATGCCATACGAGTTACATTGTTTAAACAAATGACTAAATATATGAAATGACTTTATTTATCAAATTTATTGTATCAAAAACAAAATCACTTTTTCTTTTTTTATATTATTTGCATTTCATTAATGAAAAAAAAATGTTAAAAGTCGTTAGAAGTTTTGATAAAATGGATCCTTCTATCGTTTCCTTTGCGCCTAACTTTTTCGATATTTATGGCTTGGCTAAAGCTTTGTAAGAAAGGTTTCGATACAAAATTTCAATACAAAATTTCACTACTAAATAACGAGACGAGCGTTTACATTTTATTTAATAAAAAATTATGATAATTCAGCACGCGATGCAATGTATAAATAGGAAAATTGGTTAATAATGAAATATTTTATAAAATGATTAATCGGCCGAATAAAGCCTATAAAGTAATAAATTAATATTGCAAATATTTAAATAATTCATTACTATGATAAACTAAAAATAATCAGACTTTATTTAAAGAATCCATCCATGCATTCGGATATAAAAGCAATAAAACTAATAATTATAAAAAATTACATTTTCTCACTCTTAGCTCGCTATTTGACAAATATACAAAATATTTTGATTTGATTTCTGGAATATTATTTTTCATAAGCCACTATGTAATCGGATACTCTCTCTCTCTCTCTCTCTCTCTCTCTCTCTCTCTCTATCTATCTATCTATCTATCTATCTATCTATCTTGCTATATAAAACGCAATTTCTACACAATCAGTCGTAGTGGTAATTTATATTTACAATTTCTTGAAACTTTCAATTATTCGAAATTTGTTTCAACTCAACTTTAATTTTCTTTACATTTCTTTTAATGTCGTAATGTTCATGTTATGCAATTGCATACTCAATCGCACATAAACTTATTTTAATTGATAAATGTGTGCTTTTACGTATTTTGATAATATTTATTTATTTAAGAAAGCAACGAAAGACTAAATAAGTCTATATAATACAAAATTATTAAGACGTAATTTCAACGCGATATATTGCTATATAAAGACAATTTTTATGGTATTTTATCAGTCGTTTTACAATTATTTGTATGCAACATGGAGTATTTATATTATTAGATATTTAATTGTACATAATAGAAGCGTATATCAACAAAATTACCGAGCACGCTGAAATACATGGTTTTAAAAATAATATTAAAGATATATACCGTAAAAATTAAACATTATCAAAGATATCAAGTCATTAAATATATTCTAAAATTTCGCAGAAGTAATTTACATGAAAAGCCACTTAACGCAACAGAGCTTATAGAAGTCAATGAAGCATTTACTCGACTATAATTTCCTCGCAATCTTTGCTACATACTTTTCGGCTCAAGGTAAATTCTTAATTGTATAAAATATCCACATCGGCTATAAAGTAAACGAACTCGCATAAAAAGTATATATATATATATATATAAATCAATGCATTCATTCACTTTTGTAGTATAGAATTTTTTGTATTTAAAAGTAACATACGACATAATTATCGGACGCTCGAGAAAAATAATTCTTAACGACGGCAGAAAAAAAAGCTCCCTAAATGCTTCTTCAAATGAAATTCCTTTTGAAAAACGCAGGAGCGAATATTATTCTGCTGGTAATAAGGCCAAGTCTTTCTCTCCTTCTCTCTCTCTCTCTCTCTCTCTCTCTCTCTCTCTCTCTCTCTCTCTCTGTGTGTGTGTACACTTGGGCGGTCACTATCGCCTCATCTAGATAAGACACTAGGGCGGCGTTCCTTTAGAGGCGTAGCTTACAGGGTATTCCTTCTCCAATTGCCCCAACAACAAAGAGACATTAAAAAGGGACGCGCTAGGTAAGCCTGACCTCTAACGCATGCCTTTTGTCCTGAGCAGACGACCCCTACTACTGCGGCCTACGTGCACGCGTTCCGAACTTTGTGAAAATGGCGAAGAGCAACGGCGGGCAGCCCCCGGCGTCGGCGAAGCTGCCCTACAGCCACGGGGCGGTCCGTAACACCCCGCAGCAGCAGCAACAACAACAGCAACAGCAGCACCATCACCACCATCACCATCATCAAATGGCTTATGCTGATACCCATAACTATCCGCTTGTCCATAGCCAGTCCTCTCAGATTTACGGACAACACGTGGCCCTAGCAGCAGCCAAGCGACCCTCCATCATGTATCATGCGAGGAGCTTTGAGAGTGGACTCGGTAATTTGACTCTAAGGGGGATTAAGGACTGCTTTGATTGCTGAAAAGGGAGCGCTACTTTCACACGCCAATTATCCCCATTCCTATTAGTTGTCCTTGCTTATTTACTCCCTCGTGAGCTTAAATTGGGCTTACAGTTAGATTCGCTTAGTCGTCGGCTAGGCGTCTTGCGTATAAATATTACCTACTCTCGCAATAACCAATGGCAAAGTGTCTAACTTTTCATTGCTACATTTATTAGGATTAGGTTATTTTGCTTTTTATTTTACATTTGGCCAAACTCCTCTCTTTATAATCGAATGGCCTATTGTTTTAAACTAGTAAGAATATTAAAAACAATTACTACGACCATTTCGATGAATATCGTATATGTCGGCACAACAGGACTGACTATTCTTTTCTCTAATAAGATTTTCTTCGTTCGTAGTGACATTCTCGATTGACTATATCCAAGTATTCATATGAGTGAAAATAATTTTCGAGTATATCAGACGAAAATAATCTTTAATAAATTGAAATTGTTTAAGAGAATACATTTTTTTTTAACTTTTACTATTGAATGTCCATACGTGTACATATATATATATATATATATATATATATATATATATATATATATTCAATTTATTAAAAAATAAATAAATAAAAAATAAGAATAATAATAATAATAAATAATAAATAATAATAAGACAAAAGCAGTCGTAAAATTTTTTTGTGAACTGTCAAAAAATTAAAAAAAGAATTATTATTTAACGACAAATTTTATAAATATATTATATTTTGTGTTTCTTATACTAAGCATGAGCATATTCATTTTACAATTAACAATTAATAACCAAATTATGAATGAAAAATAATTTTTTTCCAACTAATAATTATGTCCATAAATAATTATTATATAAACAAGTATCTCTGTACGTTTACTAAAAATATAACAAAATATTTT